CCTGTACCCCTCCACTCCCTTTCCCTTCTCCCACTGACACCAACCCCTGATCAGGCCTTCATTTTCAGTGAAGTAGGCCAGGTTCTGAAAGACAAAGGTTGTGTGTTTTCTTTCCTGTGTGTAAGATAGGTCCAGGACAATGGCACAGTGAAACTCACTGAAAGCTGTTGAGTAGAGGGGAAAGGGTAAGGGAGAGAAATAGAGGGGTTGGTCTGGTTAACGCACGGGATATTCACAGGTGAGATACCATGGTGGTCACTGTTATTTTTTGTAAGTTCCATTGTGATATTTCTATACTTGCGTATATTATGCTTTGATCAGATTCACCCCCCTCTTGTTTTTGCCCCCCTCCCCACTCCCTTTAATTGCAGTGCTTGTGTCAATCCTGTGAAATTTACCAGCATACAGAAGTAAAGCTGAAAGCACCTTTAGAGCTCATGCAGCACAACTGCAGCAGCTGGGTTCCCCGCAGGAAAGGGGAACCACTCTAACCATGGTAAGCAGCCCCTGTTTGTCAGTGGGAGTTGGTTAGAGGCCCAGAGAAGTGGCCTTGAGCCAGCATCTAGGAAAAGTTCCCAGCAGCAGACCCTGCTTCATTCTGGAAGGTGGGAAGAGGGAGGCTGCACCTCAGGGTTAGGGAGCAAAGATGGGACCCTCCACAGCAGCTGCCTGGTTGCTGGCATGTCAGTCTGCCTGCTGCTTCTACCACCACAACCTCTGACTCTCCTGAAGCCAGCAAAGGGGCTGAGGAGGCTGAGCCTGGCTCCCATGTCTGCTGCTGCCATTTAATGCTCAGGTGGCTAGAGTCCCCATGTGTGCTGCTCCATGACTGTGTCTGTGAACAGGGTCCCTTGAAGCAGAGCCTGAGACAGTGTCCCACGCAAGTGACTGCTGAGAGGGTATTCCCAGGGAAGTCATTAGGGTGGGGTGGCCAGGGCAGGACAAGAAGCCAGAGTATTCTATTGGGGTCAGTGTGTTGACTGAGCAGGGGGGTCCCACAGGGACCAGTGTATGGGCTGGGGCAGTCCTCGGGGCTGTGGAGTGGGCTAAGAGGTCCCATGGGGGTTAGGATGTAGGCTGGGGGAATCTCTCATGGGTCTGGACTGTGGATTATGTCTGGAGGTTGTCTGGCCCAGAGGCAATGGCCTGGAGTGTTGTGCTCTACCTCAGCCAGTCTAGGATGTGTGCCACCTGAGGGGAGATGGGCTGTATCTCTCTGTATTAGTCAGCTAGGGCTGTGTAGCAAACAGTCACACATGAAACAGCTTAGAACAACATACTTTTGTTATTTTGGTCAGGAGTTCGGTTATGACGCAGCTAAGGCTGGGTCTCCCACTCGGGCTCAGAGGCTGAATCCTCAAGGTCCACTGGGGCTCCATTCCTTTCTGGAACTCAGGGTCTTCCCAATGCTCTGGGGGTGGCTGGTGGGGCTCAGTGGCTGTAAGAGTGGTGTCCTGCTCCCTTGCTTGCTGCTCCGTGGCTGCTCTTGGCTCCCGGAGGCACCTAAGTTCCCTTGCCCTGAGCCCTCTCACTTGATGGCAGTTTGCTTCATCAGGATCAGTCTTAGTCCATGTGAGCTGCTATAATAAAACACCACAGACTGGATGGCTTATAAACAATACACTCTTTTCTCAACTTCCAAGTTCTGGAGGATTTAGGTTCAAGATCAAGCCACCAGAAGATTTGGTGTCCAGTGAAGGCTGCTTCCTGGTTTGTAGATGGTGCCATCTCACTGGGTCCTCACCTGGTGGAAGAGGTGAAGGGTCTCTTCAGGGTCTTTTATTTTACTTATAAGAGGGTTCCATCGTCATGACCTAATCACCTCCTAAATCTCCCACCACCTGCGGCATTTTGAATTTTGGGAGGACACGGACATTCAGACTGTCACTGGGGATCCGAGGGTTGTGTCCGTTTCTCCTCTGGAGTCCTGATCGAAGGGTTGACCCAAGAGACAAGGAGTGCAGGGCAAAGCAGCAAAGTTTATTGGAAGCAGAAAGTGAAAGTAGTGACTTCAAGGGAGAACAGTGGGCTGTAGCCGCACAGCCCGAGCCAGTGGTCTGGGATCTATCTGCTTTAAGTGGTTTGAGACAGGCTGGAGGGAGAAACCTGGGCATTCCTACAGGTGGGGTTAGGGTGATTAGCAGATTTGATTGACAGTCAGATGTTGTATAACTGATTTCTGACTGCACAAGTTCCTTCCCAGAATTTACTCTGTTATGATTGTATGAATGAGATGCAAGTAATATTCATGAAACCTTAAGTAGGGAAAAGCACCTAAGAGGTTACTAAAGGTGACTGTGCATACTTCAGAACTGGTTGGAACTGGTTATCATCCCTTTCCCTCTTTGCAGGATGCAAAGGACCACAAGAACTGCAGTTAACCATGAAAGAGGTGTTTCTGGATGGACCGGGAGATGTTTGGATCTTATCTCGCCTGCCAGTCTTCGGAGTAACACTGTATGTCCTGGACCCCTACATGAAGACCACTGGGAGAATCCTTTCCCCCAGCTGTTAAGACAGAGTCTTACGAAATGCAACCGTTGCAGTGACTGTTCCTCCACCACTGCAGTGTAAGGTAACCCAACCAAGGGAGGGACAGCCATCACTATCATCAGGTTCTGCTGGCTAGAATCAAGGCTCAAGTTCCACCTCACTTGAGGGAAGCATTAGACAAAGGTTCCACTCACTGGGGGGGGGGTCATCTTAGAATCCTGCCTACCATGTCCTGTGTCTCCAGAAGTGGCAGCTCCCAGCATCAGCAGTGCCCCTGGAAGGAGCACAGGTGTCAACCATTAGTGACTGCCGCCTACGCAAAGTGGACTGGGCGAGACAATCATTGTGCTTTCTGTGCTGTGCTGGCCTGAAGTGGAGAAAAAAATACCAGTGTACCATGTCCTCTTCCAAATACCACAACCGTGCATCTGAGAGGGAGAGCTAGTCCACTGCAAAGGACCTGGGAGATAGCCCTTTTAACTTTCCAGCTTGTGACACTCAGGGAAGAGCATGGGAAGAGGCAACAAGGCAACTTCAACCCAACAGGGAAGGGGAAGCCACACTGAGAGCTTCTGTGACTTACAAGGTCTCTCAGGCAGCCAGCCCCACACCCAGGTTGGATGTGCAGGTCAGTAGTGATTTTTCAGATGGGTTCCTCTGGGACCAGGTGGCAGAGAGGATCTCAAATACTGGTGATTAAGTGAGAAAGCCAGAGGAACCAACATTCTCCTTCTGGTTAGTGTAAGGAAGATTTGCACCAGCTTCCAGAAGTTTCTGGAGCTGTAGGAGGTATTGGAGTGGGTCTAGATTGTGGATACAGTTAAATATTAGAGTATGACTTCTTATTGAGCAGGGGTGCTTATTTCTTTGAATTTATTTATCACTCTTGTCATTTAAATGCTCATAATGTCTAATACCAAGGAATTAGCCATTTGAGGAAACCCAAGTTGCATTTCTGCTGGGAAAAGGTAACCACTAATGGGAGCCCTCAGCGAACTGAACTGTTTGGAATGCAAGGTTGTAATTAAAAGCCGTTTATTTGCAGTGGGCTTTGGGCTATGGAGAAATTGTTCTCCCTGATGCTGACCTTGCACTCTCACCAAGAGGTGGGCAGTGAGTATCCAGCTCTCTATGGGACCTGCTTCCAGGCCCGCAGGCCTGCAGTTCTATGCCTGGACTGAGCCTCCACTACATTCTTCTCCTCAAGGTGGGAGGCAGGGAAACCCCCAATCCAGGTCTCCATCCCAGTTCTCCACCCTGACATCCTGCAGATGAGCCCTTAAAGCAGAGTGAGACTGTCCCTTCAGAGTAGGAAACCCTGGAGAAGCCAGGGCAGGCATCCTCTCTGGGGTGCTATCTCCCCTTCTTCCCTCAACTGGAAGGAGATAACCCATGCGAAAGAGTGACTTGGCTTGGGAAGGCTCTCAAAGTCAAAGATACCTTCAGCTCTCTTGGTTTTGTGACTATCTGACTTTCCATCTGGGCCTCGTGATGGCAGAATGATGAGATGTTGGGAGTATCCAAGGCTGGTGCTCTGATCTGAGCTCTGCTACCAATCCAGGGATGATGGTGATGAGGTCACTTACCCTCTTTGAATATGGCTTGTCTCGTCTATAGAACGGAACCTCATTTCACCTAACAAAAAACAGCATCAATCTATTTAACAGAGTTTAAGGTGGGGATGTTTGTGAGATATGGAGGCATCAAAACAGATGTATATTGAAGAACTTTGGAAGGTGCAAAAAGCTTTGGAGAGACTCCCATTCTTCCTCAAGAATTTTCTGGGAACTTGGAGCCAGATAACTACCCTCAGACCCCTACTGTGTGTCTCAGAAAGCGACCAAGTCTCACAATCAGAATCATTATATATAGAACTTTAAAAAAGTGTACTTTCCTTTTCTTGCCTTTTCATTGGCAAACAGAGCTTTGGTTAGCAGAAAGCCCAGGAGGCGATGTTAATTGCTGGGTTTTATATTTGAAAGGGAAGATTATTAGGAGAAGGCTCAATTCAGAAACTTCAAGAAGAAATGGAAGGGTGTGGTGAGGATTGTGGGGGGTAGGGGGGGTGGCACTGCATTTCCTGTTTGCCTTTCAGATGGTGTTGGAAAACATTACAGAAAAACCATGGATACTCATGAAGAAATTCCAGAATTCATTTTTTTGGTTGCCAGGAGTCTGGCCCAAAAGGTGAAGAGTGGTCAATTTTCTTTTTTTTTAAGAGTTGGGGTTTGCAGGAGTCTATCTAAACGTTTAGCTTGTAGAGTGAAGACAGCATTCAGAGGTGACATCAGCTCACAGCGCAGGCCAGAAGCAACAGAGCCCAGGGTCTGGTTTTCATTTACAGTTTGGGTCTGTCCTGCAGTGAGGAGGGGAGAGGAGGGGTCGGGAGGAAGGGAGGAGGAGGAGGAGGAGGAAGAGGACGAGGAGGGGGAGGAGGAGGAGCTGGAGGAAGCCCTGACTGTACCCTGGACCCTGTCCAGTTTGGAGTTCAGTCTTCCACCAAAGGCCGCTCAGTTCTTCCAGCCTCCTGCAAGGATTGCAAGAGGAGTCAGCCTCCTCTGTTTGCTGGAGTCCCCTCTGCTTGGGGGAGAGAGGCTGCAGAAAAAAAAAGGAGACTCAGTGAGGGAGGAAAATATGCATCCTGGCCAAACATAATTGAATCTAGAAGCCCAGGGATACACATCTTCAGGTTTTCTCAGGGTGAGTGTGAGTTCCTGTTTCTCCTGTTTGTGGGTCTGAAGAAAATGCTTTAACCCAGGAGGTGACCACTTTAGAGGCTCTTAGGATCACTCTGTCAGTTTTCTGTGCATGTTTTAGGTCTCTGGAAGACTCTGCCGATCTTGCTTTCACGCTCTGTGGTGACTGGGTTTCTTTAACGTGGTGAAGGTCATGGGTTGCCTAAGAGGAGAAGCGTAGAAGGCGAATTCAGTGGTGTGTCCGCGGGCTCTGTGCACACCCAGTGCGTTTCTGAATGCTGTGTTTTCGGCTTGTGAATTATTTGAAGTTGTCTCCTCCTTCCCAGGCTGGCTGGAATCTGCTTTGTTTGCAGAAGTCTGGCTGGGGACCACAGAGGAGATCCGTGGGAGATCTCTGGGCTCTCTGAGGGTGACACCGGGTTGGGTGCACACAGCAGTTTCTGCTCTGGGACACTCGTGGGAAGGAAGTGCTGATAGTGCACACTCGATGCCCTCACGATGGCGCTTAGGCTTGGGGTCCAGTGCAGAGCTAGCTGCTCAGCTCCGATCATCAGGGCGTCGTCTTTTTAGGGATCTGAAGTCACTGCGAGAGACCATCCTTTGGAGTTGCTGGGGGGAGCTTCAAGGCTAGAGGACAAGGAATGTGAAACTCAGGCAATGTGCCGAGTGGATAAGGCAGAGCTTTGGGGCTGTGAGCTGCCTGTGTCACCCAGATGGAAGGCCCAAGGGCCATCCCCTGGCTAGGAGGACACAGGGTGGGGCTCAGTTCCTCTCTCGTGGAGGATAGAAACTGTTCACTGATGGTTGCCAGCCTGTTTGGGGACCTATTTCTAGCCTGCTGTGTTAGAAGATGGATTGGGATTGAGGCAGGGAGGGTCCTGTGGTGTACTGGGGGTGGTTAAAGAAACTCAGAGCTTCACAGCAAGGCCAGGGAGAATTTAGAGGCTAGTATGAACCCCAAGAACAAGCCTCACTGAATACAGATAGAGGAGCACCCTGTACCCCATGGGAAGGCAGAGATGTTGATGGGCTTCTCTCTCTCTTACCCACAGCTGATTCCAGAGAACCACCAAGTCTCAGAGCCTTCAGGGTCCCCAACATTCCAGGGGAACCATTCTTAGTACTGCACAAAGCTGAACAGAAATGGTTTTACAATCTAAATTCTATTACTCATAACCAAAACGATGTGGAAATCTGGTTGATTGGCTGTTAATGACATTGGAACTCCCAACTTTTTTGCTGTGCTAAAGGTAATGAAATAGGTTCTCGGTTGGAAGCGGCACATGCTGTCACTCCTCGGCTTTAAAGATGCAGAACTAAAGGTTCTGAGATGCTGCATCTCTTGCCGGTGCCACGGAACGAGGGGCTGAGGCTCCAGGAGTGACCCCTCCCCTTGCAGGAGCACTGAGACTGATGAGCTAGGCGTGGAGATCCCAGCTCAATTTGGACTGGGATTTGAAATGGGCTAGCTGATTTGTCCCCCTAAGAGAGAATTTCCTCCTGTCACATTCTATCACAAGTCATAGGAAAATTAGTTTAAGTTCCGTAAGGGTATACCAGCTAATGGAGAAAGAAGTGAGACACACCAGGGCCATGTGTCTCCACTCTGTGACTGGAAGACCACGGCTGGCATCCTGCATTCAGGCTACCGCATGGTCATGAAGGCCCAGAGGGATAGGAACTGAATTTTGCTCCATTTTGGTGTGGGCTTGCCACTGGGGGTGAAGCAGGGGTGTGAGGTGAGGAATTTCTTTTACAGAAATTTATGCTATAGGAATAATGGTCTTGTGTCTGGACATCCTTGTTTAGGCAAGAATTTTTTTTTTTTTAATTACTAGGAAGTGTGTTTTTCTCTTTTCCTCACTCATGGCAGTGAGAAGCCATTAAGCAGATATTGGGTGGGGAAGTGGACGTGGGCAGGACGCCATGGCTGGGGTGGCACCGCGAGGCTCTCCCGGATTTTTCCTGTCTGGGAATTGACGGGTGTGGCTACAGCACCTTCCTGGGAGGTGGGCAGGGATGCTCTTAGAATGCCAGCCCTTGGCCAAGGCTCACCCTGCACTTGGGAGGTGTGTGCCCCACCTCACTATGGTTGAGGACATCAGGTGAAGGGCTGGAGAGTGAATGCCCGATATTTCTGAGATGGAGACTTGTCTTCTCCTCTGCACTTGCTTGTGTCTCTGCCTCTCTTCATTAGTGCCGTTTGCAATTTCACATGTTGGAAGGCAATGTATCACTGATGACACAGTAGGCAGAAACTTCTCTATTTAACCGACTATCGATTGTGGTTTGAATGAAGCTTTAGGTCTTGACCTTGGTTTCAGAGACTTAAAATCAGTGTCTGCTCTGCTCCTGGGGACCTCCTTCCTCTTGGAAGGTGGGTGAGGAGCGCTTGCCACTGCACTGGGGCTTCTCTTCAATCCTTGCTCGTTTCTCAGTGTTTGGGTCCTTACTAGGATAAAGAGTAGCTTTATCAGTGGCCTGTGTCACCATTCACTTCTACGTGAAATTCCACACGTAGAAGTCTGTTGCATGAGACTTTCTTGCAGGTGTGCTAACAACTTTAGCAAAAAATTTTGTTAGAAAATTAGCTATTGTCACTTCTTTGTAGGATCTTATGGGGAAGAATGACAGGCGGTGTCCCCCGTCTGAATGGGACCTTGTGTCCCAAGGAGGCTTTTCCACAGTGACCTCCGGGAGCAAACTTTACACAGTGTCCTAGCTGTGGTGAGCAGGCAATAAAAAACACACCACTGCAGCACAAATAGTTGAGGAACCTGACATTTAAAAGTCCTATTTGTAGCTCTAGCCAAGGCCCCAAACGGTTCAAATTTTAAAGCAGGAAGATTAAAAAGGTTCCTGCTACTTCAGACAGCTATAGACTAGAGGGGGACATTTCTCTCTGTTCCCCAGTTCGTAGATAAAGCTTGTTTCCATTGTAAAAATTCTAAGCTCTTTAAATAGAAGACATTGCTTGGGCCTCTATAACTAGTGTCTTATTCTCAGGGGGGCGCCCACTTTGAAAAAGAGGAGCCTTCTTCAGGAAGGTGTTCTGTTGATTTTCAAGAATGTGACTTTTAATGCATTCTGGTCTCCCCAGGTGGGTGTGGGGAGGGGGTGAGACTCTGTGCTGGGATAGCTGGTTCTCAAATGCACTTTGGCTTCTTTCCTCTAGAGGGCGGCGTCTCCCTCCGAGCTCCAGAAAAAAAATCTCAACGTGTTTCTGGAGTTTCTCAGAGTAGGGTCAGGGCTCTTGGGCTCTCACTTGGTCTACGCCCAACAGAGCCTGAGAATAGCGTTACGATGGACCCAGAGCCCGTGCCGGTGCCTAGTATCAGAGGTGGACGTAAGTTTAGGATTTCGTTGTACTTCCACGCTCTTGGGTGAGTATGTTGAGATGAAATTAAGCCTTTGAATGAGGCGTTCTGTGTTCTTAAGCAGCCCCATTACCCTCATTTGCACTGGGCAAATGAGAAATGAAGCGTTTTCCTTGGATCTATTTACAAAAGTTTACACTAGTAATCAGGTGTGTGAGAGCTAAAGCAGGTTTGCATGTTTATGCTGTGTGCTGAGCTGGATCTGTGTTTGTGTAGAGTTTTTGAATTTTAACACTGAAGAAGTATTTGAATTAGCTCATAAAGTATTCATTACCTGCCTTTTACCATTTCCCCCTAATGGACAACCAGTTTTAATATACTTTTAAGAAATTCACACAAACTGTAGTTGTGAATGTCCCATTTAAATATTCGTTAACTAAAAAGGCACCAAATGATTCAAATTAAAGCAGGGAAATTTGAAAGGTTCCCACTTCTTCAGATGATTGTAAACTAGAGGAGGACATTTCTCTCTGTTCCCAGTTTCTAGATAAAGTTTGTTTCCACTGTAAAAATTTGAAGAGACAATCTAGCTCTTTAAAGACAAGACATCGCTTGCCTCTCTAAGCCATGGTGATGTGTCTTATTCTCAGGGGAGCCCACTTTGAAAAGGGAGTTCTGACGCTCTGACTTATGTTTATTAGCCTGAGTTAACAATTCCTAGGAGCCTGGGGTGCAGAATTCCAGCTCAAGGCGAAGAAGCTTCCTACCTTTACTCGGCCTATGTTTCTCACAGTCATTTGGCTTAACAAGACTGTTATGTCCCTGCTTCAGGGTACTGAGCTTCAGGGTCAGGCGAGGGGACAAAAATGGCTAAGACATAGTCCCTGCTCTTCTGGCTGGCAATAAATGATTTCTGCTTAGTTTGATTTCTTTTTTGAATTATTGAAAAATTACTGTCTTGATGGATGCTTTTGTCATATCTTGTCCACTCCAGACATGGAGTTTAGAGAGGTGAATGACTGGGCTAAGGCCACAGGGCTCATATCAGAAGCAAAGCCAGCGTTTCCCCAGGGCTCTGCTCCTGCCTGCTGTCTTTAGACTAGCAGGTATCTGGGACCTGCACATTGGAGGGATAAGGTCTTCAGAATACATTTCAGAGTGCCACTGCATGATCAGCTCTTCTTTGGAGTAGCGTCTTTGCAGTTGATTTAGCAGAGGAGAAGTGCTGTTTAAAACAATCTGGAGAGCGAGAGAAGAAAAAAGAAACAAATACGAAAAGTTCTGCTAGACCTTCTCCCAGGGCAAGGCGCTCGTCTTGCAGGGGTCGGCTGCTCTTAGCACATCTGTGTCCCACTGCTCTGAAGCTTAAGACCTGAGAAACTCAGAGAGTTGGGTGTGGCCGGGGAAGACTTCATTGGGAAGTATTTCTGTGAAATCCCCTGGTGTGTGCTGTGTGACTGATTTTCATGGACCCAGCACATTGGAAATTGGCCACTGGAAGGAAGAGCTTATGCGTTGGTTTAATTTCAAAATTAAAAATTGTACAGCAGCTGGATCTGACTCAGGTCTCAAGGGAAACCATTCCAGGAAACTGGCTTTTCACTTCTGGAAACTTCATGAGTTGAATCAGCAGCCAGTGCAGACATCAGAGCTGCAGCCAGCTCTGCATATGACCCTGACATAGCCC